ATGCATGAGCGACCTTACATAAAACCGTGCTGTGCGGGCGTCAGGACCTCGTTTGACTATAGCAACTGCAGCAATCCCTTCTTCACGATTTTCTCAGCAACCTTTGCCAATATAGGTGTCAGACAAATTGGCCTGTAATTGTCTACTTTGCTAGGGTCTCCGCCTTTCGGAATAGGCTTCACCACCGCACATTTCCAGTCAACCGGCAACAAACCTTCGGAGAGCGACCTGTTGAAAAGGTAGGTCACGATAGGAGAGAGGATGGTTGAAAGTGACTTGAGAAGCAGTGGGTAAAGCCCATCAGGTCCGGCAGGTTTGGTGCCGCCAAGTTTGGTGAGTAGTTGAGCTGCCTCTTCAACGCCGCAATGCAGACTATCGAGTTCGGTAAAAGCGGTACACGTCGAACTCGGGACAGACACCTGGTCATTCGCAAATACAGAAGCGAAGTGCGCCGCCAACGCGAACGCACGCTCAGTGCTGGAGGTTAGGGGCTGTCCATCCGTGCCATCCAGCACTGGCACATCACCTGCCGGCTCCAGGCCTCGCTTCACGTATGCACAGATTCTCTTTGGGGCGGTCTTCGCGGCTAATGCGAGCTGCTCTTCGAAATGTCGGAGATTATTCTTTTTCGCACTGTTGCAGAGGTTCCGCTGACATTTATCCCTTTCGCAATCATTGGCAGAGCCAGAGAGGAGGAATTTGTCCCACATTCTGCACCGCCTCCGAGCCAGATTTCCATACTCCTTTTCAAACCAATGAGGCTTAATCGGTCCAACCTTTCTACATTTCAATGTCACAAATTGGGAACACAATTATGTCAATCTCTCTTTTATAAACATCCAACAATCCTCCACAGATGCCGTTTGTGACAGAGACCAATCCAGTTGGCTCGCGGCTCGCGCTAGACCATCGAAGTCCGTTTTGCAGTAGTTGGGAGCTGGTTGCAGCGGATGTGAATACGACAAAGATAATTCCATATCAGCTATCAGTACTGAGTGGTCGCTCGTAGCCAGGGGCTCCAGGATCCTAACGTCACGCACTCGTTGTTCGTAGCTCGTTAACATCAGGTCGAGACAGGACGGGGTTGAACGTGTTGATATGCGTGTTGGCTGGCATATGTGTGGCGATGCACCAGTTTCAAGTACCAAATCCACGAACTTTGCTTCAACCTCACTATGTCCAGGCATCAAATGCACATCAGGCCATCGTACAGCAGAATGGTGGTTAAATATTTCGAAAATTTATGAATTAATTGAAAAACAACGAAATCGTCATTTCGTAGTATCGTCTGCTAGTATTCTGCACAACAAAAGCGACCCGTTTCTCAACCGCATTATCAAATGCGATAACAAGCGGATCCTTTATGACAATCGACGGTGCACTTTACGGTGGTTGGACCCCGATCAAACTACGCAACACTTCCCAGAGTGCAAATCGCATCCAAAAGAGTTATGGGAACTGTTTGGTGATTTGCGGCTGGTTTGATTCATCACAATTTGCTGAATCCAGCCGAAACCATTACCGTGGAGACGTTTTGTCAACAAATAGCTGAAATGCACCGAAAATTTCAAGACATGTGTCTGGCAGTAGTCAACAGAAACGATCCCATTCTTCTGCACGATAATGCCATAAGTCGCTCAAAACACCGTACGGAAGCTGGACGCGCTGGACTATGAACTTTACCTCACCCACCACACTCCCCTGACCACTTGATTACCAAGTACTACTTTTTAAAGCACCTAAATATCTTCCTCCGAGAGAGATGCTTTAAAACCCAAGGGGATGCTGAAACCGCATTCGACGAGTTCATGGGCACCAAAACTCCGGAATTTTATTTATGCGGGATAAATAAACTTGTTTCTGGTTGACAGAGATGTGCCAATTCAAGTGGCTCTTATTTCGATTAGAATGTTATGTTTACAACAAGATGTGCGCATTAAAATTTTAAGATCAAAACCTGCACGAAGTTTATTAACACCTTAATAGTATTCTTTTTAGTAGTAAGCCATAACATACAGGTTTGTGACGACCAATCTAGTATTGGCCATATTGCGCAGCTGGTCGAGAAGTTTTGGGTACATTATATTTGCTTCACTCTTCAAACAGTGCAAATTACTTTCTCTAAAACCGATCCTAGGTGCAATCACTTGAGACCTAATAGATGTTAAAGGTGATACTGGCAGTGAATGTACTCACTCGCCTCATGTTTCAAGTCAAGCTAAATCAAGAATGTGAGCCATGCACTCAGAACGGGTGAATAAGCCACCATAACACGCAGGTTCTTCGCTTCGTAACAAATAAGGCCTACTACAAGCGGATAGAAAATGATGGCCTTATAAAAGACATGGACAGAAATGTAATATCGATGTATGGTAGTTAACTCTTAACTGGATGGTTTTGTATTACAAATGATACCTAGGTGTGGAATGATGGATGAAAAGTGGGCACATGTGCTGTTTGCACTCACGTCCCATTGATGAACTAACCAAAAGAGCGGATGATGCATTATGGAGAAGGCGACTTGTTTGCGTGAGTGCTTTTAAAGCAAGTTTTTTGCTAAACTGATAATAGCTGACACACTAGTGTAGATTACGTTCGGTTTTGGAATGCCGTTGCATCGAGGCAGTTGCATCGGCGACCTGTCAATTGCGTTTCAAATATCACCTAATAAACCACTAAATGTCACAGTAGACCTCTGGGTCCAGTTGGATAGTACAAAGACGCCCCTAAATAGCAGTAAAAATCAGTTAGAGAAATAGTCGTTTTATATGCGAAACAGAGCGACGGCCCCGTGTTCCAGTGAATATTTCACCCGCATGAAGTGAGCAAAATAAATGGCTGCGTATTTTTGCACCTAGGTACTTCGCTGACGTTGCGAAGTGCATTACATCGATATCGATCTGAAATTTACGGGCCTCCGAGAGGGATTCCATATAACGAGTTCCTAGGTAAATTGGGAAAAGAGCGCCATTGCATTAAGTGACAGACTATATGTTTCGGATTACAATGTAAGATCGTTCAGAAAGGCTTGTAGCTTGGCTACTGTGGTCAAGGTTGGATAATGGATACCTAGGAACACATCATCTGTATATTTCAGTAAGATCGCTTCCTTAGTGGTAGGCACTGAGCCGAAGCAACTACCGAAGAGGAATGGCAGCCCAATCGACACCTGAATAACATCGGCGTTAGAGATGTGGCAAAGGACTTTCACCATGTGCGTGTCTGGTGAAAGACATTCAACAGATGGATAACCTGAGGTTAAAATCTAAACTTAAGCAGATTTCTCAGAAACAATTCAACATTTACACAGCGAAAAGGGTTGATTCAGTCAAGCAAACGGATTCGCATGAAATTTATACTACAGTCTAACGATGACAGCTCCGAAAGCACAGGTCAGACCACCTAGTTTTTTGCATACCTAAGTTATGGAAAATTAACCAAAGAACATCATCTGACGGGCTTGAGCCAGTGCAATATCAGGAATAGTGCTACCAAAAATCCTAGAATTCACTGAACTGCAAACAAGTGTTTGCTACTTGATTGTTCCTTCCTTTGGTAATGCCACAGTACTAGCGTCTCTCTATCAGATAGTAATGTTAGGTTCACTCGTGCACACCGTGTATAAATTTACATGGATCTTGGCCTAGGAATCAGTAGCCAGGTATTCCGGAACACTTCGTTGAATTGTAACTGTCTCAGCTTTTTGCACACTGTTTCCTCGTTGATGGTATATAATTAAAAGTGGTTGTGTACTTGAACCAAATCTCCCTAGGATCTATAATGAAAATACATACGAAAACCATAGCAGAGGAAACTGAAAGTCCTTCATGTGAAAGGACGAAGACTTTGTCTATTGCACTGATAAGAAACCTACATCTCCGTCGATAACCGAAAAGGTTTATTGTAGTACAGCCACGGCATCGTGGTGGGGACAGCGCCTAACCTGAGAATATGTCGCATTCCAGTGGTGCGTTTTCCATAAATGCCCGGCAAAATTTACAGGAGATCCAATTAAACAATCCCATGTGTTTACCGAATGTATTCGATATTGAGCATCTTCGAACTACGAAATAATAAGCTCGCACCATGTTGCACTGACTAGTGATAGTCCCGTCCAGTCATTACTGCTTTGCTGTCGTTGATACAGGAGACGCAAGACAGTTGACTGCGGACCGATCGCTGCCCCAGCGATTCCACCAGCTGACCCGCAGTTTATCACTTATCTGACACTTGTTCTCCTTCCACACTCATCTTTCGAGCAGCACCAGACAGTAACAATCGTGCCATATCGAAGCCAAGAAACCAAGAGAGGATAGGCAGAGTCCCAAAAGCACCTTGGATTAGGGGTCATAAAAGTTTCTAGATTCGCTCACTTATGAAGTTATTGAGAGTACTATGGGAAAGGTACGGTGTAAGTCGGTGAAATCGATAAATCGCCGAATCATCTGTCACGAATAAGAAGCTTGTCATGATTGTGACACAATTTGCAGCCGTCTAACTTGATTGTGCGGGAAAAGGTTTTCAGACAAACAATTTGTAGCCCTATGGAATTCAGTTTTCTAGTCGCGGTTGGCTTAGGCCGGTAGAAATAGGGAGACATTTCAAGATATTGGTGGGTACAGAGCTCTAAAGCTGTTCCTGCAAACAACCTTAACGGTCAAAGAATTAGTTACATCTAGGGCGATTCCTACGACTAGTGCTGATGAGTATCCCAAGCTTTGGGTACACACGGTGGGAATTTTACCAAGGGCCGAGACCCTTGCAGTATGTAATAATCGTTTGTAGTGCTAATAGTAACGAATGGTAGAGTTTGAGTATGCATCGCACTAGAATAGGATGTTGCACAGCCCAACTATGCTGGTAATGTGCGGTGCTGAACGAGGTTATCCCGCGTGACTGCGTGATATCATAGTGAAGGAGCAACACAGATGTATATCTTCCTTATTTTCAGTGTTCAGCATTCAGTAGGTCATCTTGTGTATCCCTGAAAAATTGCTCACCTCACGAAGTTCAGCGTAGTAGTTCAGCGGCAGCACATCGACCGACTCATACTGCACACTAATTCGGATCTGTGGCGGTGAACACTCAGACAATGAAAAGGTGAGTCGGTTTGGATCATAATTAGGGGATGTGGTTGTCGCCTCGGAAGCGCTTTTGGGACCGGAAGCAGTACCACGATGGGACGCTGTAGTTTCCGCTGTTCCACTTGTCCATGATCGCTTTTTGTAGCTCCCATCGGTAGTTTCACCAGTGTCCGGTGCACGCATCAATCCACCCAAGACTCCGAAGGCAGCTGTCGAAGTGGAATGGCGAAAGCACGTGACGGGCATTGATCGTTTGCGGAAACGCACTCCACTCGGTGATCCAATATTTCGAGATTCACAATCGCGAGAGGTACCCGTGTGGCCCCAACGATCCGCCGCAGATGGGTGGGTCAGGTTGGGATTAACGGTTGTCGACTGCATCGTAAGCCATTGCTGATTGGCTCCGGTTGGGGGTAAGTCCGCCAGTGGTATGGTGACGAAGGCTGCGAGGGGGGGGGAGAAAGCAATTGTCGCGATATTTGATTCACTGAATTCTACCCTCAGGCACAGTTAGGAAAAAAATAAAATCCTGTGTTGTAATGACATTTAAAAGGCGCCGGCCGGGCTGAAACAAGCAATACGGCTTGTACACTACGTTGCAACGGTTCGTTGCTGGCAATATCATTTTAGTGCTATACTCCACAGCCTGCTCCCAGTCACGAGTGCATTTAGTAGCTGCGTTGAAAAGTCTGCCTGTACATGTAGACAACCGCAATGACACCTATTTTCTCTTCATGGAGGAATTGTTCTTCATGTTTCTACGATAGTTACATCAGAACTACACTAATGTACAAATTCCTTCCTCCCATCGGAGATGTGTGCCAAAGTAGCATACCGGAAACAAAGATCATAAAATTATTCACGTGGAACTGAAGACAGCGAAGGAACGGAAAAAAGCCACGGAGTACTAAGAATGGCACAATTGCCTTTTGTTACCAAAACCGGGGCAGAGGTGTTCATTAAAAACGGTCTTGTTATTTTCTATGAGTGGCCACAAGTTGCTACGAAGTGTCTCCCCTGGGAATACAATCACGCCAATTTCCGCTCCGTTGGTCATCACGCTGGCTGGTCACAGCGCATGAATTGTTCGATCTGAATCTCTGACACCCCGTTCGTCAAACTGGGGCGAATAGCTTGCGAAAGCAATTAGTAATAATACGCTAATGCGAGTCTGTATGCCTGGCCTCACACTGTCTATCCGTCCGAAAAGTAGATAGTAAATGTTTCAGAATGGAAGCTTTTATCGGGCATGTGAACCGACGTGAAAGTGAGTGCCGGACGGAAAAGTTCAACAAATCTGGACTAGAAAACTCGCAAATCAGCCAAAAAGAAGGTCTATCATTCATTGCGGAATAGTTGGAATACGCGGGTGCAGCGTTAGCAAAACGCAACCGGAGCCTGCATCGCGATACGTCCAGAATCCGACTCCGATCATTTCGATCGTTTAACTAGTAAATGAAACAGATTACATTCTGCACTTCTCTGCGGTCCATTGGTCTCGAATGTACTCTGAGTGTTTGGTTAGAGATAACCAAATTGCAATATGGTCGAAGGAGATAGTGACTGCCAGATAAGTACTTAACCTTCATATCAAGGAGTTACACAGAGAAAGCATATCACACCTAGTACTGGCTGATTATCGGTTGATATGGAGACGTGTTGTTTGTAGTTTGAGACACAACCTCATCTGGGGCTGATGTTATTTTGGTCACTGGAATTTTACTCAAAGCAGGCGAATGCTGATTGTTTTCCCGCTCTAAACGTTGCCTCTCATCGTCAGTCTCATGCCTATATACAAGCATGAAACAGAGACAACCAGGTTGGGACTCCGACTAAACTACCAACTAAGCGACGAAGGAATTTTGCACATGGAACTACTCTGATTCACCTTCGTGATTTAGAAGACTACAGTACCTGCAACAAAAACCGAACTTCCACTATCACCTGTGCTATTGCAACTGTCAACCGTATGGTATTACCAAGTCATTTTCTCAGGGATGCGGTTTCATGTACACCAAACACAGCACCACCAACGTGCGGGCAGAAGGAATGTCACTCAGCTGGGTGCTTGTGGAATCCAAGAGTGCTTGAGCACAAAAAGTGCTACAGTATCATGAAAGGGTCAAGAGACAGTAAATTCAAATCGGGCCATAAGCCACCAGGCATATTTATGGACTGTTGACTAGTGTGAGATAGATGCCTACCAGCCAATCAACCATCATCGTAATGGGATGAATGTATTGCAGTTCTGATTCCCAGCCGTAGACCGTTTCATCGTGGATTGCTGCTTGTTAAGACCTCTACCGGCGTCAGACGGTATTCGCAGGGCGGGAACACGGGAGTCAGTGAGAACAGCAAAAATAAAATGTCACAAGCACGTCAGACACTGATGAAAACAGACAGGCACGATTGCATGGAGTCGGACAACCGATAAAAGGTTGGTCCCAAATGAAATCGACAATGTGCAACCAACTCAAGAACAAGGAGGTTGCTGCTATTTCTTTTCACATGCGACTTTGTTCCACTGTTGGACTATGAGCTATTGCATCCCCATTGAGCTGACAGCGATTAGTCATTACCTGTTTGGTTGAGCACCATTCGTTGTTCGTTCGCGCGACGCCCGTGTCCAGATGCCGTGTAAGCAACAGCGCCATCTTGACTGTGATGGTGAACTGTCGTCGCCAATCGTGAATTACTTCTGGTGTGCTCATCCAGTGGGATCCCGAATTGAATTGCGAAGTTGGGAAATCATTGAGGTGTATCCCGTCTAACCGTAGGCTCCCGTAATTATAATAGTGAGCGATTGCTACAGCTGTGTGAAGATGCTCGCCTCTTTCTCGCGAGCACTAACTTTCGACACAGCACCCGCAGAAGTGTGACTTGGCAGCCACCAGCCTCGGGCCAGCCATGGACGCAAATCGATCATATCGCGATCAGTTACCGCTGGAGAGGCTGTGTCCAAAACTGTCGCTCTATTTGGAGCACGAGCGTGGACTCTGACCACACACTTGTCTGTGCCGACCTCCTGGTGCGTTTCGGTGGGCGTCCGTAACGTCGATGTGAACGGATTGACACCAGCCAGCTGGCGAAGCCAGATGTTCTGAATGTGTACCAAAGTGCGCTGACATCTGGGCTGAGTAAGCGCCCATTAAACACCGTTGAAGATCACTGGTCGCATATTCGTCAAGCGTTGCTGTTAGCAGGCATGTCTTCATGTGCCAAACCGGACATTAGGTCTCTCCGCAATCTCTGGAACTTATGGATGCTCGCCGACGTATTCCGGCTGGAAACGAATACAATGAGGCTCGCAAAAATCTCAGGGCAAAACTACGTGCTTGTCTTAAGAAGGACCGCGAAATCTGGTGGTCTCATCGTGCCTCTGAGATGGAAACAGCCGCTGCCGTTGGTAATCATTGTAAGTTATTCCGTCTGATACGGGAAACAGGCAGCAGGAGACCTGGTGTTAGCGAGACCATACGCGACGAGAGTGGGCAGCCGATCCACAGCTTGTCAAAACGCTTGGAGCGTTGGGTTGAACACTTTGCAAGGCAATTTAACAAACCTGAGTTATTGCTTTCTTCTTCGGGCATTGAGCACCCTTCTCCCTGCGCCGTCTCCTTGGATCCGCCATCACGCGCAGAAGTCGAACGTGAGATCAGGCTGTTGAAATTGCATAAGGCCGCAGGGGCAGATATAATTCCCTCAGCCCTCTTCAAATTCGGGGGACCTGCTCTAGTAGATGATCTACACGAGTTGCTAGTAAAACTTTGGGAGCAGGAGACAGTCCCGACAGACTGGAACCGCTCCGTCATTGTCCCAATTATCAAGGGAGGCTCCCGTTTAGAATGCGGCAATCATAGAGGGATCAGTCTGATTTCGATTGCCTCTAAATTGCTTGCCTCTGTCATTCTCCACAGACTGACTGGCACTCGTGACAGATTCGTGAAGAACAAGCCGGGTTTCGTAGAGGTCCGTGCTGCATCGATCACATCTTCACCTTGCGTCAAGTGTTGGAGCACCGCCATGTTTATTGGCGACCCACCGTCGTCGTGTTTCTTGACATAAAAGGTGCCTTCGACGCAGTCGATCGATGTGCCCTTTGGGACTGTCTGCTGAGGAAAGGTGTGCCTGATAAATATGGAAACATTATCAAAGTGCTGTACGCACATAGTTCGGGCAGGGTGAGGGTTTATGGCAAACTCTCGCCACCCTTCAGTATCACCAGCGGTGTGAGACAAGGATGCCCGCTGTCACCTTTCCTCTTCAACTTCGCTATTGATGAAGTTATGGAAACAGCGTTCGTTGGACACGACCTAGAAGGTGTGGAGGTACTTCCTGGTGAGCGACTTCTTGACTTGGAGTATGCGGACGATATTGCCCTAATCTGTGACAGCTCCCAAACATGCCAAATAGCCCTGCACCGATTAGCGCTGGCTGTCAATCGTTTTGGGCTATGCTTTGCTCCATCGAAATGCAAAGTACTTCTCCAAGATTGGCAGGGACCCAACCCTGCGCTAACGCTTGGTGGTGATCTGCTAGAAGTCGTTCAGGGATCCAAGTACCTGGGCAGCTATATTAGCACCCGTGGGATTGAAGATGAGGTTACGAACCGTATAGCAAACGCTCGAGGTGCATTTGCCAATCTCCGCCACCTGTGGCGCAGACGCGACATTACTGTCGTCCTGAGGGGCAGAGTTTACAACGCAGTCGTCCGTTCAACTCTCCTATATGGTTGTGAAACCTGGTCCATCAGGTCGGCAGACATGAAGAGGCTCGTCACATTCCATCATCGCTGCCTTCGCAGCTTAGCTCATGTCTGGTGGGAACACCGCATGAGCAATGAGCGTGTTCGACGTCGCGTATTTGGTGCAGGAAGAGCGAGTGAACCGCTCAGCACCATTATATCACGCACCAGGCTCCGATGGCTGGGCCACGTGTTGCGCATGCCAGAACACCGACTCCCGCGACGTGCATTGTTTGCGCGTTGTGGGTGCGGTTGGAAGAGGAGGAGGGGAGGCCAAGTGATGACTTGGTCGAGAGAAATGAAAACCCTCACTTCGAAGTTGGCGTCGGTTGGTGCATCCCGACTGCCTGGCTGGGGTCCTAAGGACGGTGAACACGTTTGGTTGGACACACTTGCTGACATGGCGAAGAGCAGGCCCTAATGGCGTTTGTGTTGTGAGTTCCTTTGTCCATCCCCCTCCTGTTTAGCATCCTCATCTAATCACGATCTTACTTGTTAGGCATAATAGGACTCTCTTTTACGGCAGCCAGCTGTTAGCTCTCCGGAACGATGTCCATCCGTTACTGGAGACTCAGCGGGCATGCTATTGTTTGTTTTTCTTTTCTTGTCGTTTGTATTGCGGCACAATAGCTGAGGTGTTTTCCACCTCCAGCTAATGTGTAGTGATGATGATGATGATGATGATGATGATGATGATGA